GTTTCTCCGCTTCCCTCAAGCCTCGTTCCCGTTCCAGTTGATCCCGTACCTCCGTAAATGTCTCACGGCAGCATTGACTTGTCGAAATTCAATGTTACGATGACAGACCGTCTTGGTTCTTCACACGAAGACGATGCAAAGCTTCGGTGAACAAAACCCGAGTAGTTCCTCAGGCTGGGGGTCGTACAAACACTCCCGTTAAGCCAAAGGCTACTCAAAGGTGTCCCGCTGCCTCCAAACAAACCGGGGCACCTCATTGTACATGTTCGTGCGCCGTGCACAAGAGGACTCCTGGCATCGATCGCCTGGGGGTTCGTATTGAAACCCAGGAGCCCGTTAAGATTCCACGCTCGTATGGGGGTGGTCCTAAATGTGCGACTCCTGATACGACATTGGATCGTTCAAAGGCGACAATAAATCGTCCCGAGAATATCAACAAGGGTTTTCATCCCCAAAAGAAGATGTGTTCGTCAAAATACAACATTATACTTGGGTCATCACACCAACAAGCGATGAATTACTCCAATGAGCTGCACCATCAGGCTGGGGGTGTGAACAAATCTTAAAAGGAGGGTGTCTGAGAAACTAGCTCCCACTGTCCATGTGGGAGATCTATCAGGATAGTATTATCAAAATGTAGCTGCCCTAAGACCATTTCACAAAAGGTCTCGATATTTGAGAAACTTTCCACCGAAGCGTCAAAGCCCAAGCCAAGATGTTTCCATGAGAGAAAATCCACCGTCTAGGATGATGAATTTCCTAAAGTCACCATCAACATGGTTGACAAAGGAAAGTCTGCAATTGTTTCAAACGACTCTAATCCCAACTTTTCTCCTGGAAGAAAAGTCAATTTAGGGATAGCCCAACGAATGTCTCGGCTCCAGCTAGAGGCCATCGGATATAGGGATTACCTGAGGATGCATGAATGACTATCTTCAGAAGATAAATTGTCGGATACTTGCTCCGTAATTGCCTCCAATGATACAATATCCAGCATGAGTGAAGCAAGGGAGTTGTTCACAATCACTCCCGACCTAGTGCCTCAAATACTTTAAGAGGCTTTAGCTCGATAGCGAGAGGAACTCAGAGCTGAAATGAAGATTGAAATGGAGTTGAATATGTAGTGGGTAAGGGAGCTACATGATCAACAACTCCAGATTGTGTCAAATCAGCAAGCTGAATCCAGTCATCGCACTCAAAACGTCACAGATGACAATGATCCAAAAGTGGACGAAGTTATCAAGGCTGATACACCCCTCAATAACACTAGGGGTGGTTCAAATGCACCCCCTAAAGATTAAAATGCTGAGGGTGGTCTAACTCATTCTCCTCAACGTCATTCGAAGGAAGAAGTAGACGACGAAGAGATGATGAAAGAGCTGGAGAATAAGGTCAATGTCTTAATGTCTGCTCAAGAAGTAAGGAAAACATGCATTCCGTGTTCATATCCAAGAGAGTGGGATTCAATCCCATACCCAACGAAGTTCAATCTAATTAACTTCACACCGTTTGACGGGAAAGATTCACCCACTCATCACCTAATTTATTTCAAGTCCTACCTAGGAGTGATCTTCGAGAATAAACCCTTGATGATTCGGTCATTCGTGGGCACCCTTCGTGGGACGGCCTTCGATTGGTATCGATGTCTCAAGCCGGGGAGCATCAACTGCTAGGACGATATGGAAAGCTCAACAACTTCTTTAACGACGACAACGAAGTGTTAATCGGAGCCCTACTGGACGAGAAGCAAAATGATGGAGAATCAGTCGACAACTTTGTCAAGTATTTTCGAAACAAGACGATAAACTGCCGGGATCCGGTCACGTAGGAATTCATCCTACAAATTAACCTGCCATAATAACCTTTCTCTGGATGTCTTGGAGGTCATGAGAGTTGTATCTTCAACCACCTGGAAAGAGTTAAAACTGCACGGTGAATAGGTCGAGCGCTTCCTCAAAAGAAAGAAGCTCGAGAGAGGTCAACCGATCGCTAAGGCATTTGCAACTGCTGTTGTCATTCATGAAATGTCACAATAACAACCTTGGAGGCAACAAAGGACTCTTGGTCTGAGGTTCTAGGAGGAGTATTCTTTCAAAGATGATGAAGTTCCAGCCATCTTCAAGTACCTCCTTGTCAAGAACAAAATCAAGCTATCATTGATTACAAATCAGGAGAAAGCAAATAAGACTTTGGATCCGAAGTACTGTGCATATCACAAGAGGGTTCATCACCCCACCAAAGCTTGTATTACTTTGAAAAATAGCATTCAAGCCTTGGTTAATGCCGGTATCATGACAGAAAAATAAGCCAAATGAGAACGACATTCTCCAACAGGTATATGAGATTAAACTGCTTCTCCGTAATACTCTAACGGGTATACGAGTATAAACTATTTTTCTAACCTCCAACGGGTATATGAGGATAAACTGCTTCCTTTATTTCTAACGGGAAGTTCCTAGAGAATATTACACATAATATTCTTAAGGATAACCCGAGATCAAAGGATTGTTTAAGTCTACGCCCAACACGTGTTACCGGATAGCCTATTCCCGTAACAATGATGAAGTCTATGTATTCAATATCATAACACTAAGTCTAAGAGAGTTAACTCTTTTAGCACAACGTTACATGGGAACGGAATTAGACAATCCGTATGCTAGCCCGACTCAAACGGTAGTACGTAAAGGCTTATCAAATCCGTTGATGGTTGAGGGCTTGCCAAAAATTTTATAAGTACGATAGTCACTAACGCACCAGCTTCATCAGTTGGTCTTGTGACTTAAGCACCCGAGACAACATCAATTCTAGTCGAAGCCTCCATAAGGAACCTTTAAAGCATTCGCAATGGTAGCCGTATCAGCTCCAATAGTTGGTCCTACATATGGTAGCCGTATTAGCTCCAATAGTTGGTCCTACATCCAAAACTCTCCTATGGTTAAGTAAATAACTAGCGGTACATAAGGGTAAGATTTGTACTTGCAGATGAACCAGCATCAATGGTTGGTCCTGCAACCTCTATCCTTGGGCCTGCTACACGTTGCAACGAAGGTCGAGCTTAAACTGTGTAAACTCTAATAAACGTATGAGTATAAACTGTGTTAACACCAGACAACGCGTTATAATAAAGGTTAATGCCGATTAACGCAACGATAGATTCGTTGGAATAAGGTTCAGAAAAATTCCAGGTCAAAGAATAATTCCCGAGAGTTCAATCATGATTCAGATATGAATTCCTAATGAATATGATCAGTTCAACGTTGATTCAATGACACGAGCTAATTCAAAAATCTTCACGCCAGTCTCAATTCAAGATTTCGACAATGATCAGATGATAAACGCAGCACCGGAAGAATTTCATCTATTCAATGGAAAAAAACTAAATAGATTGAAAGCTAAGGAAGATAATGAATTAAAGGTCGGGCGTATCATATCCAAAGTATTCCAGCCTCCTCTATAAAAGAATAAGGCTGAAATACTTTGGAGGGGGTATCTGTAGGTGTTAAAAATTACCTATGGGTTCCCGCATGTAGTTCAAGATAAAGTGAAGATGATAAACATCATCATCTAAGTCAAAAAGGATCATCCAATGCTATAAAAAGAAGCGAAGGAATGCACGTGAAACATCAAAACGTGTGGAACGACGAAGCAAATACAATCAGGTCACTTCGAGGTGACTCGCACGAAGAAGTGAAATTTTGACCATGATGAAATTCGAATCCGAAAAATCTCAAAAGAAAAACGTTCTAGCTCTCTTTGTCAGCTTTCTAACGCATCTTAAATTACCTTATTCTAAGGTCGGATGAGAGAATTAAAGTCAAAGTACCGTGCGGGTCACCTTGAGGTGACTCGCACACATGCAGGTCACCTTGAAGTGACTCGCACAAAGAATTAAAATTTCTACCATGATGAGATTCAAATCTAAAAAATCTAAAAATATAAAAGTTGTAGGTCTCTTTGTCAAAGTTCTAACGCATCTTGAATCACCTCATTTCGAGGCCGGCTGAGAGAATTAAAGCTAAAATACCGTGCGGGTCACCTTGAACTGACTCGCACCTGGAGAGTTCCTGAAACGCGTTTTCGATAGTTTTCTTGGGATTCTTTCATTCTAGAGCCTTCCCAACTGCCTTAAGGCTATCCCTAAATGTGGTTAAGCAGTTATTAGCTAAGGATAAGATCAAATCATCAATTCTTATTCGAAAATGCTGCATCCGAAGTCTATAAATACAAGCCTAGGGCCTCTATACACGGGGGATCAAAAATTGAAGGCAAGGTGCTGTTGAATTGGAGAGTGAACCCATGAATTTCAGAGAGGCTAGCGAGATCTTGGCGAGTTTTTCAGCATAAAATGGAAGAGTTCGAGAGATCTGAAGCCCGTTTCCATCGTTCCTTGAGATCAGACTTTGTTTTGATCTCGAGAAGAGTAGTAATCTTACTTTGTTGAGATTATTTACTTCTATTATTGTTTCTTTTAGGAAACAAGAACATTGAGCATTCGTTCCGATTAACCGGATCTGGTCCGCGGTGGTCCAGCGATAAACCCCGACACATGCAAAGATCACACGCAAGCAGTAGGTGATAAATATCCTCTGCGTGTGTTTGAAAAGAGTTGTAACCTTTTTTTATTCTCATTGTGTAAGAAAATCTTATAAAAAGACTAATTTTACCTTTTGAACTTGTTGTAAATGACTGAAGTTGTAATGAGTTCTGCAATGAAGAAATCAACTTTTGACGCAAACATGGATGTTGTGGTGAAAGGCTTTGAAAAGCCTAAAGATGAACATGCGCTATCAGCAGCACAAAGAGACTCGCTTAGAGAGTCCACTAAGAAAGATAGTAGAGCCCTCTACTTTATTTACCAAGGAATCGATGAATCGGTATTTGAGAAATTCTCAAATGCGACGACCTCAAAACAAGCTTAGGAGATACTTCAAAATAAGGGAGTAGAGAAGGTGAAGAAGGTACAACTCCAAACACTTCGAAAGGAGTTCAAAGATTTAGAGATGGGGAAAAATGAACTAGTTTCTGACTATTTCACTAGAGTCTTGGCTGTAGTGAATCAACTTCGGAGAAATGGTGAGAAGATCGAAGATGTTCGTGTGGTGGAGAAAATTCTCCGATCACTTCCTCAGAAATTTGACTATATTGTTTGTGCCATCGAGGAGTCAAAATACTTGGAGAAGATGATAATTGATGAACTCTTGGGTTCGTTAAATGCCCACTTGAAAAGATTTAGCAAGAGAAATGAGCCAGAGGAGAAGGCTCTTCAAACTAAGCTTTCTTTGAAGGTTGGCCGAGAAGATTCAAAAGAAGGAAGTAACGACGGTCATGGTCGTGGAAGATTTCGAGGTCGAGGATGTGGTTTCTATGGCAGAGGAAGTCACAACAACTTTGAAGAAAGAGATCAAAATAAAAGATCTTTTAGAGATCGTGGATGTGGTAGTTCTAATGGAGACCGATGATAAACACAAGTTCAATGTTTTAAATGCAAGAAGTATGGTCATTATTCTTTTGATTGTTATCAAGTTGAAGAGAAGATGAATTATGTTGAAAAATGAGATGATGATAATATTCTTCTATTAGCATTCGGAGGAGATTGTGATAAGGAGGATCTTTGGTATCTGGTTACTGGTGCCAGCAACCATATGTGTGGCAAGAGAAGTATGTTTGTCGATATGGACGAATTTGTGAATGGCAAGGTCACTTTTGGAGATTTCTCAAAGATTCCAGTGAAAGACCGAGACAAAATTCTTATTCACCTAAATAATGGAGAAGAAAAGTTTATCACTGATGTTTATTATGTGCCTAATTTGAAAAGCCATATATTGAGTTTGAGACAACTCTTAGAAAATGGCTATGATTTTTACACAAAAGATCATAGTCTTTTTCTTCAAGATCAAAAATGTAGATTGATTGCAAAAGTACATATGTCAAAGAATCAAATGTTCATGCTAAGCCTTCAAGGTATAGGTGTGAAATGTTTGAAATCTTGTACCAACGATCTTGCTTGGGTATGGTACTTAAGATTTGGGCATCTCAATTTTGACAGTCTGAAGACATTAGCCGATAGAAGCATGATGAAAGGGTTGCCAATAATTGATCATCTTGAGTAACTCTGTGAAGGATGTCTAGCAGGGAAGTATCATCAAGCTACTTTTCCAAAGGAGGCTTCATTTCATGCGTCGAAACCACTGCAACTTGTACATACTGATATGTGTGGGCTAATCACTCTGACCTCAACCGGTGAGAATAGATATTTTCTTACTTCACCGATGTTTTTTCTCGAAAGACTTGAGTTTACTTCTTGAAGAACAAATCCAAAGTGTTTTCTATGTTTAAGAAGTTCAAAGCTAATATTGAAAAAGAGAGTAACTTTTATCTTAAAGCTATCAGATAGATCGAGGTGGAGAATTCACTTCAAAGGAGTTTGAAACATATTGTGAAGAACATGGAGTTCGACATTTTCTGACTGCTCCTTACACTCCACAACAAAACGACATTGCTAAGAGGAAGAATCGCACTATTTTGAACTTGGTAAGAAGCATGTTGAGTAGTAAGAAAGTGCCTAAAACCTTTTGGACTGAAGCTGTTTCTTGCATTATCTATATCATCTACCGATGTCCAACTCAGATTCTCCAAAAAATTACTCCACAAGAAGTCTGGACTGATTACAAACCAAATGTGAGCCACTTCAGTTAAACAGTATCGGGTATACTCATGTTCCAGAGAGAAGAGGAATAAGCTCGATGAGAGGAGTATTCCATATTTATTCATCGGCTATGATTCAAAGAATTAAGGGTTACAAGATGTATGACCCGTGTAGTAAGAAGTTCATTATTAGCCGAGATGTTTAATTCGATGAAGAGAAATCATGGGACTGAAGCAAGAGAGAAATTTATAGCAGCCCGATTACTTTCATTAATGAAGAAACTGAGATCAGGAAAGATGCTCCAACACATACTCCATCGACATCCACTCTATCATCACAGACAACATCATCACCAACCACACCCCAATCACCCCAGTTGATGACTTCTTCAACATCATCTTCATCATCATCGAGTCCACAACCTCAAGAATTTAGGAATTAGAGGGAGTTGTATGAGGTGAAAATCAATATGATTTAACATTATTTTGCTTATTTGCTGGTTGTGAGCCTTTAGACTTTGAAGAGGCGGTTCAAGATCCAAAGTGACGTTCAGCCATGGATGAAGAGATCAAGGCTATCGAGAAGAATGATACCTGGGAGCTTGCAACACTTCTAGAAGGGAAGAAAGCATTTGAAGTCAAATGGGTGTTCAAAGAGAAGAATAATGCAAAAAGAGAAGTTGAGAGACACAAAGCGAGGTTACTTGTCAAAGGCTACAAGCAGAAAGCTGGAATTGACTATGATGAGGTATTCTCTCCAGTAGCTCGTCTTGAAACTATAAGGCTGATTACTGCCTTAGCAGCTCAAAACATATGGCCTATCTATCAACTTGATGTGAAGTCAGCATTTTTGAATGATGTTCTTGAAGAGGAGGTCTATGTATATCAACCTCTTGGTTATATCAAGAAAGGAGAAGAATCAAAGGTGTTGAAGTTGAAGAAAGTTCTTTACGGCTTGAAACAAGCACCAAGAGCTTGGAATAGCAGAATTGATGAAAACTTTCAAGCTGATAATTTTTCTAAATTTCCTTATGAGCATGCCTTATATACTAAGGTAAATGAAGCTAAAGATATTTTTATTCTATGCTTGTATTTGGATGATTTAATCTTTACAATAAATAATCCACACATGTTTGAGGAGTTCAAAAGCTCCATGGTTTGTGAGTTCGAGATGACAAACATCAGAATCATGTCTTATTATCTTGGCATCGAGGTGAAGCAAAGGTAGGTTGGAATTTTTATCTCTCAGGAGGGATATACAAAGGCAATTCTTGATAAGTTTGATATGAAGTATAGTAATCATGTGAGTACTCCTGTTGAATGTGGAGTCAAGTTGTCCAAGAAAGACGGTGGAAGCAAAGTTGATGTAACTTATTTCAAAAGTTTGGTTGGTAGTCTTCGCTATCTAACTTGTATAAGGCCCGATATTCTCTATGGTGTTGGGCTCGTGAGTAGATACATGGAAGATCCGAAATCTTCACACTTGTTAGCAGCAAAGAGGATTCTCTGGTACATCAAAATAGATCTCAGTTTGTTTGATTCAAGTTCTAACAACTTTAAACTTGTTGCGTACACTGATACCGATTATCGGCGATACTGCCTTTACTTGGTCTTCAAAGAAGTAGCCGATAGTCACTCTTTCAACTTATGAAGCCGAATATGTTGCTGCATCATCGGGTGTCACTCATGCACTTTGGTTGAGAAACTTGCTCAAAGATCTTCAGTTCGGACAAGAAGAACTGACCAAAATTTGTGTTGACAACAAGTCAGCTATTGCACTTTCAAAAAATCTAGTGTTTCATGAAAAGAGCAAACATATTGACATCCGATATCATTTTATCTGCGATCAAGTAAAGAACAAGGAAGTTGTGCTTGAGTTCGTGAAATTGCAAGATCAGGTGGCTGACGTATTTACTAAGCCATTGAAGCATGACATATTTACTTTATTGCGAGACAAGTTTGACATAATTGAAGGATCAAGTTTATTTTCGCTGAAAGCCGCCTTCATCATTGATTTCATTAAACTTCAATCATTACAAATGAATTCAAATAATGAAAATAAAACAATTATAACTCTCTTGAAAATAAACACAAGATCTGTTTATCGGCTCTTGCTTGCGTGGGTTCTTCACCGGTGCCGGGGTTTATCCGTGGACGACCGCGAATCAGATCCGGTTGTCGGAAAATTGGGCAGAGCTCCTACCTCACCAAGGAGGTATTTGCTTGAAGCGCTGAAATCGACCAAGCGAAATCAGTAGCTCTTCTCGAGATTAAGACAAAGCCTAATCTCAAGGAACGGACGTACGGGCTTCAGATCCTTCGAATAGCTTCTCCTTTGTGCCTAAGTTCACCGGGATCTCGTTAGTCTTCGCTGAAATTTTGTGCTCCTTGGCTCCTCAATCCAGCAGCACCTCGTCCTCTTGATAAAGTTCCAGATCTCGAAAATGAAGGCCTTGGGCTGATATTTATAGGCCTCGGGTGCGGTTATTTGGATGAGAACAAGTGATTTGGCTCTATCTTCAATTAACAATAGCCTAACCATGTTTGGGGATGATATCAAGTCAGTTAGGAACCCCTAGAACAGATAAAACCTACAAAAACTGCTTTAAAACCGCCAAAACGCGTATTGGGCCCCGAACTGCGCGATGCGGGTCAGACAGATCTGACCCGCACTTGCACGGGTCGGTATCATCCGACCCGCGCTTGTGTGGGTCAGAATCAACCGACCTGCGCTTGCGCGGGTCGGATCCAATCTGACCCGTGCTTGCGCGGGTCAGACAGATCCGACCCGTGCTTGCGCGGGTCGGTGTGTTCCATTTTGCGCTAGCGCGAGTCCGTCGTTTCTGTCGAACTTCTTCTTCCGGGACTTGTTCTTTTGTCATTTCGCATGTGTGGTCGACATATTAACTTGTACGCTTCGTTGCGGTCCTGACCGTCAAACGCGTGTTGGTTGACGCGCGCGTGTTGGCTGACGCGTGCGAACTGATTAACGCGCGCGTGTTGGCCGACACACATGAATTGGTTGACGCGCACGAGCTAATTGATGCGCACGTGTTGACTAACGCGCACGAACTGATTGACGAGCGCGTGTTGACCGACACGAACGACCTGATTGACGAGCGCGTGTTGACCGACGTGCACGAGCTGATTAACGAGCGCGTGTTGACCGACACGCACGAGCTGATTGACGCGCGCATGTTGACCGACGCGTACGATCTGATTAACGCGCGCGTGTTGACCGACGCGCACTGATTGACGCGCGCATGTTGACCGACGCGTACGATCTGATTAACGCGCGCGTGTTGACCGACGCGCACGAGCTGATTGATGAGCGCGTGTTGACCGACGCGCGCGAACTGATTGACGCGCACGTGTTGACCAAGTGAGCCTTCTTGACTCGTCCAGTCTTTGTTTTGAGTTGCATGCGGGGACTTATAGGCAATTTTAGACGCCTACAGATACCCCCTCCAAAGTATTTCAGCCTCATTCCTTTATAGAGGAGTCTGAAATGCTTTGGATATGATGGGCCCTCACCTTCAGTCGGTGTTAAAGGACCTACAGCTGGTTTCAATTCTTGACTTCTCCATATTTCAGCCTATTCTGTATTTTGTCGAATAGCTAAAAATTTTTCCTGGTGCTGCGTTTATCGTCTGACCTTTGTTGAAGCTTCGAACCGGAATTGGTGAGTAGATTTTGGCTCGTGTCATTGAGTTGACTTTTGAACTAATTATCTACATCGTAACGCGTTGACTGGCGTTGACCTGGGGCTATGCGTTGACCGGCGTTGACCCTAGGGTTTCGTGTCGATTCTCAGCGCAACGCGTTGACTGGCGTTGACCTAGGGCTACGCGTTGACTGGCGTTGACCCTAGGGTTTCGTATTGATTCTCCTCACAACGCGTTGACTAGCGTTGACCTGGGATACGCATTGACCGACGTTGACCCTAGGGTTTTGTATCGATCGGCGTTGACTCTCATCGCAACGCGTCGACCGGTGTTGACCTAGTACTACGCATTGACGCGTTGACCTTAGGGTTTCGCATTAACCTGAGGAGAACCAGTTTATGCTCGTGTACTCCTAGGAGTTTCGAGAATCAGTTTAACCTCGTGTACCCGTCGGAGGTCGCCGGGTTATCCTTAAGAATTATTATACTAATATTCTCCAGGAACTTCCCGTCAAAAATGGGAAACAGTTTAGACTCATGTACCCGTTGGAGTTTGGGTTTCGAATATTCTGAATATGAGCGAAATGCCGCGAAACCACCCAAAAATTTAAAATTGGGTCCCGAATATTCCGAAAATAGGCGAAATACCGCAAAGACACCCAAAAATTTAAAATTGGGTCTCGAATATTCTGAATATGAGCGAAATGCCGCGAAGCCACCCAAAAATTTAAAATTGGGTCTCGAATATTCCGAAAGTGAATGACAGCAAGCGGGAACACAGCGAGACGAACGCCGGATCGA